TCATTTGTGTGTAGAAATGTTTTTTGTATACACAGTAATTGAAAGCCCACGTTGTGAGGAAAATCAGATCTTTTCAGTGCCATACTGAAATCATTTAAGGTCTATGCATTCCATCAATATTAGTTTGTGCTCTGATAGAATTGTATGTTCTGCATAATTTGCTTTTCAGAGAACTTGTAAAAGCAGGGCACAAATCTGTTTGTCTGAATCAATGACTTAGCTCTTACTATCTAAAGGTTGACTAGTTCCTATCTCTGTATTGAGCCAACTAAAAATTTTCAAATTAGACATGCCCTTTATGCAGAGGCTGTAGGTCAAGCAGTGATTAGCCTGCATTCTCCTGTCATTTCTGTCTGGGCCGTTACACAAATAATGCAAAACATAGTCATAGATGCTCCACATGCAAAGGAGAGTCCATGGCCCGAATTCTAGCTTTGCTGCTTCCGTGGCAGAATTTTCCCCCTTTTTCCTGTTCTTGTGGAAGATGCTCTATGGGTCCAAGGATCAAGAAGGGGAGAATTGAGTTGGGGAGCATTGCAAAAGCTCCAAAACATTTTACCAGCCTGTATCACATCACCAGATATCACCACCAAACCAGACACAATGGATTGCTAATCCACGGCTAGGGCAGGTTTCAGAGGTAGCTGTATTAGTCTATTGCAGAAAAACAAGGAGTCTGGTGGCACCTTAAAGACAAATATTTTTATTATGGAATAAATTTTCGCAAGTTGCAACTCATTTAACCAGATGCATGATGAAGTGAGTTGTAACATACCAATGTTATAGCATGAGGGCTTATGTTCATTGCAAGCTTGTTAACAAAAAGCTACCATCACATGGTTAAGTCACTAGTAATCTTGGAGTAATGACTTAAAGGACAAAGGCTCAGTAGCCATTACCAGGCCCCTGAGTTTGTCAGTGCCCTGGAAATGAATGTCCAGGTTAAATGGCGTTATAAGACACATTATAATGATCATCTTGCACCGCTGCTCAGCATTCCTAGAGGAAACAGCACTCATTCATAGGGGAACGTGGAAAGAACTTTAGCAAAACATTTTTACAATGGCAGAGCAAGGAGCATTTGTGGAGGACATTAAGGGCCCACAATACAAAGCGTTGCATGACCTAGGACCTTCTCTGCACTCTTAGGGGGACTCCAGCCAAAAGACACTGTAGAATTTTATTGTAATGCCCTCATACATTCGCTTAATATTGATAGAGCAATGTTTGGAACTATGGGCTAGTACTATGGAATACCATAAGTTTTGTTTCATAGCATCAATATAATTGTCAAGTGGAGTGTTCTTGTGCAGGATGAGTAGGCTACATTTGTGATTTCATTATTTCATACTGCTTGAATCATTATCATTGATGATTATTAGTGTCCTGGTAGCACAAAGACCGCAGCTAACCAAAGCTAAATGGATTCTTTGCATTGGTCTTCACTGCAGAGGTTGTGAAGGAGATGCCCACATTCAAACCATTCTTTTTAGGTGATAAACCTGAGGACCTGTCCTAGATCGATGTGTAATAGAGATGGTTTGAGAACAAATTGATAAACAGTAATAAGTCACTGGGGACAAGTGGCATTCACCCAAGAGTTCTGAAGGAACTAAAATATGAAACTGCAGAACTACTAACTGGTATGTGATTTGTCGCTTAAATCATCCTCTGTACCAAATGACTGAAAGCTAACTAGCATGACACTGATTTTTAATAAATGCTTCACCTGACACCTACAGGTCAGTAAATCTAATTCTATACCAGGCAAGTTTTCTGAAAGTACTGTAAAGAACAAAATTATTAAGCATATAGTGTGTCTTATAAAGAGAAACCACCAATCTATTAGAATTTTTTTGAGAGTGTCTGCAAGAATGTGAACAAGGATGATCCATGGAATATAACATACTTGGACTTTCAGAAATCCTTCTACAAGCACCCTCACCAAAGATCTTTAAGCACACTAAGCAGTCATGGGGTGAGGGGGAAGGTTCAAAAAAGAACTAGGTACGTTCATCGAGGATAGCTCCATCAGTGTCTTTTAGCCAAGATGATCAGGGATGCAAACCCAAGTTCTAAGTGTCACTAAACCTCCTCCAGAAGCTAGATCTAGATGACAGGGGATGGATCAGTTGACAATTGCCCTGTTCTGTTTATTCCCTCTGAAGCATCTGGAATAGGCCACTGTTAGGAAAAAAAGGAAACTGGGTTAGATAGATCATTGGTCTGACCCACTGTGGCCAGTCTCATGTTCTTAATTAAGATATTCTCTAGTACTGAACACACATCGTAAGAAAGCCCCTACTCTAAATAATTTAAATAGACATGATAAAAATATCAAGATAATCTTATTTCCAATTTTAGAGATGAGAAAGTGAGGCAGACACAGATTAAATTGCTCGCACCCCTAAACTAGCAAACTGGCAAAACCAGGCACTGAACCTAGATTGTTTGTTTGTATCTCTTCCCAGTGTATTATTAGATGGCCATCCTGCCTCATCTTTTCACAGTTCCACATTAAAGGTGGGGAGTTTCCAAAGGCCCATTTCAAGTTGGAAGGAAACACAGACATTGCTCTTCTGTGATATAGACGTGACTGAATCTACTAATAAAATTTGAACCATTTGCCACTTTGAAAAGAACAGATATTTTAGAGGGACTGTAATGTTGGTTAAAGAGTTTGGATTTAAGGAGCTGGAACCCAGAAGCCTCTGTAAATCCAAAGAGCAATTAAAACACAAGAAATGGTAGCGAGAACTCTTAATTGATCTAGGCAAAGAACCTTAAATCCTGATGCGGGTGGACTAGCTACAACAGTGACTGAAATCACTTCCAAGCCCTTCAACCAAATTGTGGTTTCCTAAGGGAGTACCAGCAAGGCTCAGACAATGGTCATATTTTATTTGGAAAATTTGCTTTTGGGAACTAAGATAAACCTTCACCATGGTTCTTATCAGTTCCAGGACATAACTTCGGGAGGAACAAAGCAGCCTGATGGTAACTCGGATGTATAGGGCTGTGCCTAACACTTTGCTGATAGCCAGGTGAACGTTTATCTTCTGCACATTGCATGAGACACTGCAGCATCAGGGCCTTAATGTACTAGTGTGAATTCAATCATTGGAGTTTCACTGTTCATTATGAAGTTAAGCCATCAATTTATGCCTGAAACAGGATTTTAAGAAGTGTTTTTTCTATTCATGGTGAAGTACAGGTAAAAAAACTTTTCCTAGCCTGCAACCAGCTCCTGAAGAACCTTGCTATTGTCTGTTAGTAAATCTTCAGTGTCGACATGTGACATTTCACCCTGAAAGATTTGAAAGTGAGGGTTTTTTTATACCTGTCGAGGACTGCACCATATTACAGTATTTATAAGAGAGGTGATTGTATCATGACAAATTCTTTCACAATTATGAGTAGTATCTAGGCACTGGAAAATTCCTCTATGGACTTGTCCTGGAAACTGTCAAAAAAATTTCTTCCAGTTTTGATCACCCCTTTAACTAGCTTAAAAAGTCCAATTTCTTTGTCAAGGTTCTTGAAGAGAGAGGAGGCAATTTCTCAAGGAATACAATCTTAGTTCCCAACCTATCAGTCATTCTTATGAGACAAGCCTTGAGAGTCTGATGGCTGAGTTCTATTAACTGCTCATAAGATTGATAACAGGGGAAGCTGTAAAGGAAACTGTAGATTTCCAATCAGTTTGATCTTTGAAACTTATAGTATCCTTGTAGAAACATGCCTGATCTGGGTGAGCAGATATTCCAGCGTAAGATGTATTTTTCATTAAGCAGGGCTGTTCTGTGCATCCGCATGCTTAACTGAGTTTCAGTCTTTCAGTGCATAGGTACACTCACCTGTCGAATTCTTCTGATTAGTCATGAAACTGCAATATGAATTAGGGAACATGTAAGTATTCCCAGTGAAATGGTGCAATAAAAAATGGTCTGACTGTTCTTTGAGATGGTTGCTCATGTCTATTCCATTCTATGGGGGGTGGGGTGGGTGTGTGTCCACGTGCACAGTTGTCAGACTTCTTCCTTAGCAGAAGCGATAGGGTTGTCTGTGGTCATGAGGCTGGCAGCAGCTGAGCTGGAGCAGCCCCTGCCCACAGCATAGGGCTCTCCACCTGCTCCCATTTAATCTATTAACCAGCTAAACAGGATTTTACATCCCTAGTTATACATCAGTATTGAGATTGAAACAAATCAACTGTCTGAGTGTCAGGAAAATTCCTATCTTGTTTTGGGAGTAGTAGGCAGTATAAAATTAAATTTTGAGCTGCCACAAATGGAGAGAGGCTGCAGGGGTATAGAATTAGGGATCTGATTTTTTTTTCTTGACTCACTATAGAAGCATGGACAAATCAGCATCGTTACCATCTTCAAAATAAGGACAATGCTGTTTACTTAACTCACAAAGGGCTGTAGGAGAACACTCCTTTCTCTGCCAATGCACTTTCATGAAAAATAGCTTGAGACTAGCCCAATGGTTAAATCTATCCACTACAGTAAGAATACCAGCCCTGCCCTCTGCAATGTAAAGGACTAAGTATATTGTCCACTGTGCAAAGTATTTAATAAATAATAATTATGTCAATCAATTCACGGCCCTCACTCTTACAATTATGGGTTACTTCCCTATCTTATCTCCCTTTCGCATCCTTCCCAACAACGTGTATTCTATATTTCCCCCTGTGTTTTGTTTTTTCCATTCCCTCAATTTCCAATCTATGACACTTTTTCTAAATCTTTCATTTACTGTGTTGCACTCACTCAATTCCATGTTTTTGGCTCCACTTATCCAAGGAATGGCTACTACAGTAACACAGTTACAACTATATTTTGTAAGTAGCAGTTCTTGCTGTACCATCTTCATAAATAATACACATTAAACTAAGTTATTTTATTTGCATATTCTTGTTTAGCAGAATATAGCTCATAAATTGTATGCAATGGTTACATTTAAATTTGAGAGAAGACTTTGAAGCGAACAGATTGTTCCTCTGGAATATAAATTAGTTTATTAACATAATATAAAAAAGCTGTTAAAATGTCACATAATAGCTCTCTCTATAGTCAAGAAAACTTTTCCTGCAGGACAACAGTGACATCATCATGTCACTCTTCATCCAGCAGCCCCTCCCCCCGCAGCCACCCTACCTCCTCCCTTCTACTGTGCTGGTAACCCAGCAGGGATCAGCAACTACGGCTCCTGGAACAGCAGTAGCACTGAAAGCAAGCTGTTGCTGCTGGTGGGGGGAGGGCGGCGGGGGAGGGGGGTAGGAGGAAAATTGTGGGGTGGGAGGGCAGGGAGTGCAGAAGCCTGCTGCAGGCGGAGGACATGCCATCCCCTGATCTGGGACCAAGTTGGCTGTACCGTGGGTAGCCACCACATGACCGGTGGCTTCTGGAATTTTAAATTGTGCTGCTCTGGTGATGTGTGGGGACATCCCCCCACTGCCAGAGCATAAGGCAGCTTCTGGAGTCCTTGCCTGCCGTCCTCCCCCTCCTGACAGCCAGGTGATAGGGCTAGGGGTCTGGTGGCTGTGGAGAGCGAGGGGCTTGGGATTTTGCCCTCCCTCCTGGTGGCTGGAGGGCTGAGCCTCACCAGAGCGCAGTGCTTGGTACAGCTAGGGAAGTGGGGTGGGGGAAAGCTGGGGCTGGAGCAAGTGGCAAAAGGGGGACTGCAAGTCACAAGACCTTCCCCCCTCATGGTGGAGTGGGGTGTTGGGGGGGAGGGGAGAGGCACGCTGCAAGCCCTCCCTCTTGAGGGAAAGGGTCAGGTCAGCCTCGGCCCAGCCCCTCCCATCGGCTGAAGGGAGAAATTTGGGCCATCTGTGGCCTTGGCCTGGCCCAACCCCCCAGGCAGCAGGGTGGCAAGAGAGAGCCTGTGAAGGCCAGGACTGCCAAGCCTCAGCCTGGCCCTCCCCAGTGGTGGTGGGAAGCCAGGGCTGCCTACCCCAGAGAGGGGGTTGGTGAGTGTAGCGAGCAGGAGGTACTACCCCATAGTATACTATTAAATTTGCTTTTATAGTCTTGTCAATTTGTACTATTTGATACATAGACTAAAGCATTATCCTTGATGGTTTAAACACACATTAGGCTCATAGTCATTCTCTGTTCATCCAGAAGATCCCTAGAGATTCTTTACTGTTTTGACTAGAAAAAGCAATGAGTTTTGTAGCTTTATAAAAAAGTCCAGTGACCCAAGTGAACAAGGATATTTTATTTTGTCCCGTAAAAATAGTTTCAGCGCTCTGCCATCCCCTTTAATTTCTGAATATTCTGACAGACTCTTGCTATGCACAACCATTCTGTATTCAGAATTGCCTGTTCTGTTTTGATGGGTGCTTAGAAAAAATACTAGAAAATGTGTTCTATTTTCAGGAACAGTTAACTTATTTATGGTAAAAAGATTACATCGAAGTATCCTCTCCTTTGACTTAGTTTTCTCAGTCTGCCTTCTTGAAATGCATTATTAGATATACAGAGACCAAATGTAAAATTTAAACAGAGCACATTTTAAACCTTAGCAGCGTGAAAAGGAAATATCTGTAAGATTATTTTCACCTAGAGAGAGTCTATTTTAATGACAAAAGCCATTTCAGAAGAGAGCTTCAACGAGAAAACTGCCGGCTGTCTGACTTTTTCTTGTTAATGTGTTTGAAGATTTTGGATTTATGGACACTCTTGGATTTCTGGTAACCAAATCCTCCACCTCCGCCTCTTTTTTGCAATCTTCTACCTTGGCTGCTGTTCACATCTGGGAATTTTTGGTTAAGGATCACAAACACAATTATTAAGTCATTTAACCGTCATGTTTTCAGAGGAAAAGAATAATAAAGTGTGCATGGCATTTTAGAGCAAAACTTAGTTGGATGCATGGATGGACACAACTTATCAAACAAAAACTCACCTACTGTATGTCATTCCTTAGACTGTTTTCTATTTTGCTTCTTCAAAACTGTTTAACTTTGTTCTCTCTCACACTGTGGACTACACTAAAATATTAATGGGTCAGCACTTACCACCACCAGTAGCTCTGAAACAATTTTTAAAACAATACACCACAACCATTACATGTACATATTTATCTCACTGTGCAAACCCCACATGAGAAAAGAGGAAACAACGCTTCAGAATTTTAAGAACGCATATATAGTATATCTGGGATTATTGCAAACATTAAAATGCTTATTATCCTTGTCCTGCCATATACAGTATACATATGCACAAACAAATATTAAAGCTGGCAAAATAACTGGTTCCTGTCTTCAGTACAACTATTCTCTTACGGGTAGGACATGCAGAGATAACAGTAAAACTATCATTTGCACCTTAGAAAGGTTAAGCAGACAGATAAATTAGTTCTGACACATTGTAATAAAAGGATACTGAGATCAACAAATGGAGGGACTTTGAAGCCAAAAGAAAGAGAAACTTTGGGTAAATCCAAGTTATTGACATTATAGATCTGTTTCAGAGAATGGGAGTCATAAGCTCTAATGTATGCTTTGTATGCTTCCTGCGCCGACTTGTGAAGGAAATAGTTTTTCTCAATCAATTTTTCAAGCTGGAAAAAGAAAGGCAAGATAATTGTATCCAATTATGATTGTAACCAGCTTATAAATTATACAGCAAATAACTCATTTTGCTTGTAATTTGCAAGGACTACATTCACCATAATATTATCTTCAATAAAACTGACCTATTACAGCAAAACACATACCCATTTATCAATTTGCTTTTTATAAATCAGAGGGGGGTGGAGGGGAAGGACAAATTGAATTACATTACATAGCATAGCCTCAAAAGTTAATCTTAAAAGCATTGCAAAAATGAATTCTATTTTCTGAATGCAGTCTAGCTTTAATTTATAGATATATTTAGGTGGTACAAACAAACCTTACAACTAGAAGACTGGAATAAATGGATAGAGGTGGCTGGCAGATTTTCTAATACCAAAATTGTATCAGTCTATGAAGATATTTGTATACGTTGCTAGACTACTACTACTACTAAACCAAGCAATGAGGCATATCTGAATTTTGTCCTTAAGTTGAAGGCTTTTATTATTTAGAACTGACAAGACTTCTTGCTCTCCATTGTGCTTTTTCTCTGGATCTGAGAGAGTCCATTTTGACCTCTAGTAAGCATTATTTGTAATATGATGAATTAATGACATTTTATGTCACATCATACCAATTACATTTAATTATGAGTATATTTTTGTGTAGGCTGTCTCAATGCCTTTATTTAAACAAAATTGTTTAAAAAAAATCTTTTCACTGCTGGTTATTTAAAATGGCTTTATAGATCTTTATACAAAGGAATGAGTAAAACCAATTATAACAAGTTCAGAAATGACAGCAAAAATAATAGACATACCCCTACTCCCAATGCCCAAATATACTGCTTCACTGGTGACAAACTTTTGAAAAATAAATCACCTCTCAAACTCAATTCATCTTAAGCAGAATACAAACTGGATGGTGAGCTCACCAGTTCTGGCATAAACCATGCCCTTGCTTAGTCAGAATTTGAAGCCCTTTGAAAAATCATGTTGATAGAAAAATGACTGCATAAAACCAGAATTTATACATAAATTAAAAACAGCTCACTCCAACTTCTCGAATTTTTTCCCTCTAAATTTTAATTCAAGTTGGTCATTTTTTTATTACTGAATGTATATACACACACAACCTGGAATTCTTTCCACATTTATAAAAACACCTATTCTCTTCCATTTAGATTCATACTCCATGCTTACTACCTTATATTTGAGCACTAAACAGATACATCTCCCACTGGATTATAATGGAATGTAAATCAGGCCAGTTAAACTGGTTCCTAATACACACTATAGAATTTACAAATGTCATTTCTAGATTTTCCTGTACCTGTAGGCAGCAGCAGGCAACCTGTGACCTGAGGGCTGCATGCAGCCCATCGGGGTTCTGTGTGTGGCCCACGAGACATTTTATTTATTGCTGGTTTCTGTCATCATAGTTTTTTTTCCTACTACTATTACTGTAGTGACATGCACTGAAAGCAAGGGCACATGAAGTGAGGTGCATGCTGTTTCAACGCATTGACTGTAAGAACCATCCTCTCAAAAGCGCTGTGATGGTTCCATTCTGCAAATCCTAGGTACGCAAGTGCAATCAGCAAAGCTACCCTATCACGGGAGACCGTCTTGGAACAACAATCTTGCGACCCACTGAGATGGAGGGACACTCATGTAGCCCACTCACTAGCCTAGATTGCCCAAAGCTGCTGTAGAGGTACAAAGTAGCCAGATATACTGAAAATTATTATGGCAGATTAAATTGGCACATTATAAAAAAGACCTATTTCTAAACAGTATGTTAATTCTCATTGATATCAATGTCAAGTTATGTGCATGTAACGAGGGCAGATTTTGATACATTGTTTTATTTGGAGTATCTTTGAAATTATAACAGGGTGTCATATGAAGCCATGGATAGCTGTAATGACATGAAGGCTTAGCACTTTAAAAGCAAATATCTAAAAAAAATCTTTCAAATCATGTAAGTACATATCCACAACTTCATAAAACATTCAATTATTTTGAAAAAGTTTAGTCTATAGCTAAAAATCATTTTATGTAAAAATTCAGAGAAACAGTATTAAACAACTTTATACCTGAGACTGGATGTCTGAAATTTTTGACCACGAAAATTCAAATTCACTTAATGGTACCTAAAAAATAATTAAATATGAAAAAAGCATTTAGATAACTCTTAGACAGTATTACATAGCTTACATAAGATGGTGTATATAAAAGTTTCATCATTCACCTATGGAAACTAAGGTCTGATCTACACTATAAAAAGTTATACTGGTAAAAGTATGACTTCTAGGTAAGCAATTATAACTTTAATACTGGTACTATGCCCTAATGTGGACACAGCTACAATAGTATAAAACCTTATACTGATGTAAGCACATTTAAGTGGCCATAGAAGTGTGGCCCACGCTATGTGGTTTTGCTATGCTGGTATAATGAAAACAGCAAACTGGTCTAATGTAAACAAGTCCTAGAGGAAGACAATTTACAAATATTCAAGATAGTTAACTTCTGTTCATTATTCAAATAGCAACTTTGCTGTCCTTTACAAGTTCATAAAGTACTAGAACTAGAAGGGACCTTGAGAGATCCAGTCCAGTCCCCTGCCCTCATTGCAGGACAAGCACCATCTAATTCAGGGGTGGCCAACCAGTTAAGACACAAAGAGCCAAAAGAGCTGTGGATAGTAGTGCAAAGAGCCACACATCCCTCCCCCAGAGCCAGGCCCCCCACCCCCCAATCCCCTCCCTCACTCACTGCCCTCCTCCAGAGCCAGGCACTCCCGGGCCACTCCCATTCTAACCTAATGCCTGGGTCTCACTGGAGCTGCCACCACGACAGCCAGGCACTTCTCCCTTCAGGAACTGGAGCACATGCACAAAGCGGGCATGTGGCTCCGAATGAGCCGTAACCCTGAGAGCTGCACTTCTGTGAGCAAAGAGCCACAGGCTGGCCACCCCTGGTCTAGATCATCCCTGAAGAGGTGTATCCAAATTGTTCTTAAAATATCTCCAGTGATGGAGATTCCACAGCCCCCCTAGGCAATTTATTCCAGGGTTTAACCACTCTGACAGTTAAGAAGTTTTTCCTAATGTCCAACCTAAACCTCCCTTGCTGCAATTTAAGCCCATTGCTTCTAGTGGAAGGGAAAAAATTTTCCTCCCCCCCCCCCCCCCATTCCTTGTAACACCCTTTTAGATACTTGAAAACTGTTATGTCCCCTCTCAGTCTCCTCTTTTCTAAACTAAACAAAGCTCAATTCTTTTAGTCTTCCCTCATAGCTCATGTTTTCTAGGCCTTTACTCTTTGCTGGTTAGGCCTCAGTTGGAGTATTGTGTCCGGTTCTGGGGCCTCACATTTCAAGAAAGATGTGGAAAAACTGAAGAAGGTCCAGAGAAGAGTAACAAAAATGATTAGCGAGGAAGAATGACTTCTTGAGTCTTGTTCACAACACTCCTGTTAATGCATCCCAGAATCATGTTTGCTTTTTCTGTAACAGCATCACACTGCTGACTCATAGTTAGCTTATTGTCCACTATGATCCCTTTCTGCAGTACTCTTTCCTAGAATCTCACTTATCCCATTCTGTATGTGTGAAAATGAGGGTGTTTACACTAGCCCCCTAGATTGATCTAGGGAGGCTAATGAGGGCAACCAAAATGGCAAATGAAGCATGGGATTTAAATATCCCACGCTTGATTTGCATGTTCCTGGCCGGTCGCCATTTTTAGAAATTGACTAGCCCGAAGTAACTGCCCGCGTCTACACATGGCAGTAAAACGGGATTCCGAAATAAAGCCCTAACTCGAATTAGCTGGTAAACCTCATTGCAGGAGGAATACCAACTAATTTGAGTTAGGGCTTTATTTCAGAATCCTGTTTCACTGCCGCATGTAGACACGGGCAGTTACTTCGGGCTAGTCAATTATTTAAAAAAAGTGGTGACCGGCCGGGAACATGCAAATCAAGCGCGGGATCTATGGGGCTAGTGTAGACATATCCTGATTGTTTCTTCCAAAGTGCAGTACTTTGCATTTGCCCTTATTAAACTTCATCCTAGTTTCCTTAGACCATTTCTCCAATAAGTATATTTCTCCAGTAAGTATATTTGCAAGGCTTTTTGGTACAAAGTATTATATCACCAGAATGAGAAGAGTGGGTTTTTTCTATCCACAAAGGTTCTAAATTTGAAAATGATGGAAAAAGTGAACCACAAAGTTCACTGGTATTTTCTCTATATGAAAAAAGGCTTGAGCTAGACTGTCTTCAGAAAACCTCTTTCCTGCTCTTTGAAATATCAAAATTTTTAATAAGAGCAGCAATATTTACATGAATGATGCTCTTCTCATTGAAGGGGCATTTCTCCTTTATGGTAATTTGGTAGTGACTCAGGGCTGAGAAAACAAATGAGGAATTGGTAAGTTTAACAGCTGTCCTGCCTTTTGGTAAACAACTGACTGAAATTTGTGACTTATTTCTGCCATTTCTTAAAATAGAGACTAACATAGTACTATGGTTGTATTTTCCTTATTTTTGTTGGAGTAATGTACTCAGTGGCATAAAGGATTCTCAGAAATATTTTTTCCCCTATCATAACACATTGTTAAGCTGCATTATCAAGTGATTCCATGTGGAATTTAAATGATTTAGTTTCTATTGCAGTAGCCACCTTGCATTTCTATTAAATTGTTCAGTTAAATATTTTCTAAGCAATAAAATAGGTTTCAGTTAAAATACTCAAACACTTGATTAATCATTACAGTTTCTATCTCAAAAAATTCCATCAGCATAGTAAAATACTAAATGCAACCTTACCCTGGCTTGCTTTAGGTAACGAAGGAAACCCAATTCTTCTGGTCGTAAAATCAGTAGAGCATGTCCTCTGCCATTTATACCTCTGGCAGTTCTACCAACGCGATGAATGTATTCCTTTTTGGGAAAAGAACAGTTTAAAATATCACCAGAAATCAAAATTCTTATGTCAATTTCTTTAAAATGAGCCCTCTGTTAGCCTCTCCAGAGTATGGTAATACCAGTACAGACGATGCTCAAACTCGACATTTAACACCATGTAAAATAAGTATTTCCACGCTCCCTGACTCAAGGTCTTGGGCCAATAAGATCTGCTTCTGACTCATGCCCATATGAATAGCAGGGATATAAAATCCCTTTTAATTTGCTAAAGCAGTTAACCATATTGTTTAACCATTTAAAGATGGGTGAGAGGGGGAGCCCCCCATGCCCACCACAAGGCAGAGGCTGCTCCCGCTCAGCCAGAGCAGCCCTTGCCTCCAGCCCAGGACACCCCACAAGCAATGGTTGCTCCGTCATCACAGCTGGAGCAGCCCCTACCTACAGGGCATCGGTCCCCTGTGCTGGAGCAGCCCCTGTCCGTAGTGGGCTCCTTTGGGGCAGGCGTGGCCCCTTGTATCCATGGCAGGTGGGGAACTCCACCCCACCAGTTAGACTATTCACTAGGGATGTGAAGGTTTAACAGAAAAACAGACTGAATAGAATGAGTGTCACCCATAAATTCTGCTCATCACATTGAAATCTACTGATAAAGAAACCAAGTTCTGCAAACCTGAAACACTAAGTCTGATGAAGAGACAGTTAAAAAAAGCTGTTGGAAATATCAATATCTACAATCACTAATTTTATTGCTTGTTTTTTCCCAGTTTGATTATTTTGTATAGTTTTAATATAGTCTTTTACATAGTCACAGGATGAAAAACTAAACTAGAAAAACAGGAACTTAAAAAAAAGTCTCAAAAAACTGTCAGGGGGACTTAAGAACACACCAGCCAGTTCTGACACCATGGAACTTTATAGCGAACTAGGTACATTCAACTAGCCAAATAGCCACATGTGGCTAGTGGCTTGCGTGTTGGACACCACGGGTGTAATTGTTTTGATTCATTATTCAAACTAACTATATTTTAAGTCTAAATACACATCACTTTTCCCAACAGGCACTCATTTTAGACGCATGCCGAATGCTTCAAATTAGTGGTACATACAGAACATGATTTATAAAATAAGCTTTTTCCTGGAACAACAAAAATTTAGTTATTTGGTGCAAACTCAGCCTGAACCTAACATTCTTCTGTAGTGAGTAATTAAGTCCATACTTTCTCTAAAAATATGTAATGTTAGAGACATTAGAAGCACCTTCAGGAGACAAGTTACCTTTGGGTCATCTGGAGGGTCATACTGGACAATCCAATCAACTTCAGGAATATCCAGTCCTCTGGCAGCTACATCAGTGCACAACAGTATTCCAGAATCTGCATTACAGAACTGGAAAAACGTGGCAGTACGTTTAGTTTGCTTCTGCTTTCCCTAGGAGAAAACATATTCAGAACGAAATTAGTTAAAAAGATTCTGCAAAGCAACTTTCAGAATTGTACATTTACATATACATAAAGAAAATATATTCTCATACATTTGTACAGTTAAGAACATTTAAAACAACGTAAGCCTCTTTCCATCCAACAGACTCATACATTTCCACATATCAAAACCCATTTTCACAGTTCTAAAACAAATCAGGGAGGGAGGGGGGAAATATACATCATAGAGTCATAATCTCCTCTAAAGTAGCATTTATCTTGTACTTTCTAAGGCATTAAGTGCTTAATCCTTCAAACATAAAATGCAATGGGATTATTCAAGGGCTTAAAGTTAAGGACATGCCTAATTGTTTGAAGGATCAGAGTGTATAACAGTAAGAGTTACAAGACTACAGAGAAACAGGACGGTGTAATTCCCACACCTCACACTCCCTTCCGTCCCTCCCCCCAATTCGGCACTTGCATTCAAAATGCAGCACTAAGATCATAGCAGGATCAAAAAAAAACAAAAAACAAAAAAAAAAAAACACCCCACAAATAAATAAGTCAATCATGTTTGTTTCAAATATATAATCAGTCTGAATTTTCAACAATTTAGGACTGCAGTTGTGATACTATAATAAAATGAAAACACTTATCCAATAAGTGGGGATGCAATGAAAGTCAAAGTATTACCAACTGAAGAGATGCCTGAAGTGTGTGGCAAAAAAAGATTGTTTCCTTTTGCAATTTATATCAAATATTAAGTATTCACCCATGTGGCTTGCTTAATAAAGAAGAGACTGATTAAGCAAGGACTAATGCTAAACTAAAACCCATAGTACAGGTTATACCTCCCTTAACCAGGACTCTCTGGTCCAGCAACATCTGTAGTCTGGCAGGACCACAGATGGTCCTGGACCACAGAGTCCAGATATAGGGAGGTCTGGCCACAAGGCAGTAGGGCTGCGGGGCAGGGAGAAGGGTGGGGAAAAAAAAAAGCACAGCAGACAGGAGATCTGGCCCCACCAAGTGGGCAGTAGCTGCCGCAAAGTTTCAACCCTGGCCACAGAGCTCTGGCCCCGGCTGCAGCCAGGGAGCTCCAATCCCTGCTGCATAGCTCCAACTAGGGATGTTACATTTAGATGAATCAACTAATCAAATAGTCAATGGAATTTCCATCAACTACTCGATTAGTCGATAAGGGCGCCTCCGTGTCTGAAATGTACAAGAGCCCCATTGGGCTCTTGTACATTTCAAAAGCGGAGCACGGGGCCACCGGGGCACTCAAGCAGTCCCCCGCTGGCCCTGTGCTCCCTGATTCTCAAACAGTCTCCCACTGGCCCTGTGCTCCGCTCTTGCTACATTTCAAAGGTGGAAGCACCACCAGTTCCCCACTGTGCTCCTGCTCTTCCCACAGAGATGGTGCTGGGGGGAAACCAGCTTTTAAGCTGGCTCCTCGCAGCATCAGCTCCTGCTCCCTGCCGCCTCACTCTGATGGAGACAGCAAGGTTGGGGAAATGACTAGTCAAGTCACTAGTCAACTATCCGGTAAGCATATGGGACTAGTCAAAAAGCAACTAGTCACTTACATCCCTAGTTCCAACCCCGGCAGCAGCGGGAGCTGGAGACCTTCTGCCCAGGGAGCAACATCTGGCCAGGCAGCGGGGGGACGGGAGGTGAGTGGGAAGGAAGCGGTTTAGCATGGGCCATCAGGTCTGGCAAATCCCCTTTTCTGGGACCAGTCAGGTCCAAGGGTGCTGGACGTGAGAGGTCCGGCCTGTATTGTTAAAGTTAATTTCCACAGTGACTATGAAATGGTCCACTACCTCCAAAATAGGGAAAGTGTGATTAAATCATTTCCCCATAGCAAACCAGGAACCTCTGAACGGGATGTCTGATGAAAAAATATGCCATTTTAACACAAAATACCACCTCAGTGACAGAAACCTTGTTCTTCGGATGCACATTTAAAAGACCAGGTTTAAGAGAAAGCTAGTTTGAAAGGGTTTACTTATTAGTCAGACACTGACATTCTTTCTCCGTGCACTCCAGTTTGGATAAAGATCATCCATCTATAATTCAGAACAGCTTCACAAGAAAGGAAGTTGTTCAGATATTACACACACACTTATTCTTAAATCAGTTTGAATTTTAATCTCATAAGTGTATCTGAAACACAGCATTTTTTTGAGATAGTCAGAAAGTTATGATGCCAGGTAAGTTATTTTTTAGATATCTGAGATACTAACTTGAGCATGGAAATGGTAGAATTCTGAACTCAGACCTGAACTAGCTGTTCAAAAGATTATTAGACTTTTATTAATGGTGTTTCAGAACACTTGGGTTATGGCAACAGATTCCCATAAAAGTTTTTTTTCTCCACGAAGTGAATTCAGACCTTATAAAAGGGCAACCCTAGAAGCTGAAAATCCTCTTTGCCCAAAGACTGGTTGCATGAGTGGCAGTATTAAAATTCAGCGTTGGGCCCTTCAAACTGTGGTCCTCTCTCCTGTGTGTGACAGCAAGGATACCAGTGGCTTAGCAATAACAATATGTATCAGTTAGGCTGGGATAACCAAGGAAAAGCCAGAGAGTAACAAGTTGCAGTTACTTTAAAACGGAACAGGTTTTGGAATGCCAACTTTGAAAATAACATTGTTTTTTGAAATTTTGCTGAAGAAAATGAATTACTTACATGAATGGCCATGACCGGCAAGTCAATATAGTTGAGTAGTTCATAGTGATATTTCACAGACATACACGAGGAGAAAAACACCATCAATTTTTTCTTCCGGTTTTTCTTGAGGAATGTGAAGAGCAGAAGGAATCTTTTTTCAGATGGACACACTACATATCCCTGGAAATCATTTAAAGACAGTTATTTAAAACCTGCCTGAAGTATGTTTTTGTTTCAAATAACTCAAGTCAGTGCAGCAAATGGAGCTTTAAAAATATATTTTAAGTCTTTGTTTCTAAAGCAGTATTAAACAAAACTTTCATATACCTATGTTCCTTTCTTTCCTGGGAACCGACATCCATGTATTATAATTAAACTATCTAATCAAGAGAAGTGTATTAAGGAATTATTGGTAAGTATATGTTATTTATATGAGAATGTTCTAAGACTTTTTAAATCACAGAAAATAACATGTTACAATAGCTATCTTTCAAACTTTTTTCCAAATACATTAGCTAAAATAATTCTGCTACTGGTCAAGTCACTAGCATGATAAGTAACAGCCTATAATTCTGCAATATCCCTTTTCACCTCACAGTACTGAAAAAACTGGGAATTGGAGCAGTAATCCCAAAGTTGTTTGTATTGCTTATTTTGCAACAGCTATACAGTGTAAATACAGTTCCTTACAGCTGGCTAGTGCCAGAGGTATTTAATCAATCTACTAGAAGTTATCCTTTAGTTTAAGACTGTACTTAACATTAAGAGAACCCACATACAAATATGTGTTCATACTATAACTATTTTTACTAGTATTTCTCCTTAACTTTACCTGTTCAAGACCATCTACTGTGGCTGTTTCCTTGTTATCATCAACTCCAACATATAGTGGCTCCTTTTTCAGAGATATTTTAGCCAGGTCTTCAACCTTTCGGGTTTGTGTAGCAGAAAAAAGCATGGTCTGTCTGCGCTCTGAAATAATTCAGAAAAACAATCTCACTTTTGCAGAGGATTATGCAAATAGAGATGAGGCAATTGTTGGGCTCCCTTGTGTGTGTTTTGCCCATCTTCCTCAGTGGATGGATAAAGACAGTTTTTACTATAGCGTGTCTGTCATTATTACAACCATTATCAATGGAATGTACACTGTGTCATATGATCTACAAAGCAATGCTTTTAAAAAACAAACAAACAAACAAACTTTAAACTCTAAGCAGACCTTTCTCTTCAGGGAATGTTAATATTTATTTGCATTGTTATTTACACAGAAAATAGAAATCACAGCAGATCAAAATTGTAACTTTAGTTTAACTGCCATTTTTTTTATTCACATACGAAGTGATTGATATTTATTTTCAGGGAAAAAACTCTGAAATTCATTGCAATAAAGTAACTAATATGTTACACAAAAAAGTGTTTATCAGTTTTACATAGTTTTGCCTTTTAATTTAATTTCATTGTATAGCAGGTTATGCTACATCACCATACATGTGATATGTGGGGCAATCCCTGAGCCTTGCTGACTGCATTGAAATTGTGCAGAGAAGCAAGATTGGGCCTGCATGGAACTCACTGCAAGATCAATGCTTGTGTTAGTATCAGGCAATGTCTCATTCATCTGAATGTAGGGGGGAGAGGGAGGAAATCGAACATTTTACTTATGAGGTAAAGAAGAATGGAATTGGTTCACTATATTTTAACTTCTTTAATTACCAATATGAGCTGCTATTTCACTCTTATTGTTTCATTTTACATACTGCATATCAAGTTGATACTACTTTTTAAAACTATAGCTGCATTCAAAAACAATTTCATTTTAAAACTTGGAACCCTGACATACAGACTGCATATTAACTAAAATACATTTGTTTAATGTTTTTCACTATTTCTAAGATGAAAGAGTTCTTCAGTGGTTCTAAGGAAGACTGTGCACTATGAAAGAGTAACACAGAGATGAAATTTAGGAAAGGAAAAAAAAAGTTTAAGTATCAGGATAAACTTCCTGAGTATGTGTAAAATAATTCCAAGTGAAGGTATGGAAACCTTTTTAGCTTGTGACATTTAAACTATGACAAAAATTATTGTACTATAGGGAACAACTCTACATTGGCAGAAAGATGTCCTAGATACAAATAAAAGACAACTCTCTAGTTAACTTCTATGGACTAAATTATTTATTTATGGTTCCCATGAAAAGCCTCTCCTTCAGATAAATAATGGCCTGATGGAGCGCCTACCCTATATGGGTTAATGTGAAAGGGTTAATGTGGTTCTGAGAGATCAATTAACCCACCTGGTTACACATGAAGAGGGGCTAGCCCTAAGTAATGATGAAACCAGCTGGGTACTATAAACATAAGTTTGGAGAAGAAGGAAGCAGCAGGGAGAAACAATTTTTCTGTCCTAGTAGTAGGGAGCGACAAGATTTGTAGGAATTAGGAAGCATTTGGTATGGTGAGGAGAAAGCCCATAATAGGGCTTGGTAGGAATACGTCCAGGGAGGAGGCAGCAAGGTATGTTGTGAAGTGACTCTAGACCAGCTGTCATAGGATCCATAGATTAGAATCCAGTATAATGAGAGAGGCTGGGTTCCCCTACCAGCTATTCATAAGATGGCATGAAGCCCAAGATAATAAGATATTGACTACTGCTAGCTCTGAGAAACTTATATGGACCTCTTGACCCACAATTGAAGGTGGCACACAGGATGGAGGAATCAGACAATTGTTTTTGCTGGATTTTATCACCTTAATAGGGTGATATACTAAACATGACCTAGCCTGAAAGCTGAATTGCAAGAGAGACCCCCAGCAAGGGGTGTTTTAGAAGAATCTGATAGCTCACACTCAGCCATGACGGGGTGCTCCACTGGTGAGTTGGCTCATCTACTGGATGGTAAAATATAGCAAACAAGTTTCTGATTACTACCATATACTGAATTAAGAAAAAGTGTGTGTATCAGAATAACCATTAGAAAGTGTAAGACAATCATTCCAAGACTAATGCAATAACTGAAACCATTTTTCCCTAGTTCTCTCCTTCCTTGACCAATATGATTCTCAGAAGGTAACAATTTCTAGGAATGACAGATTTTACTTACTTGGTAGCAGTTTTATGATCTGTTTCATTTCTTCCTCAAACCCAACCTCCAGGATACGATCTGCCTCGTCAATTACCAGACACTGCAGGTTCTTGTACATAAACCCTGGGGTGTTCTACAAGATTTTAATGAGCACATGGTCAGCCAGAGAAACAGCATATAGGTAGGGCTTTTTTTCTTTAAAATATTAAGTAACCTTATATATTTACACTTACCTGCATGTGGTCCAGAAGTCTACCTGGTGTTGCCACGATAATGTTGATCCCATTTGCAAGTTTCTGTACTTCAGCTGATCTGTTACTGCCTCCCATTATCAGGCCAAAGGTGTGAACATGATGAGTCATCAGTTCTTTCAGAACTCCAAAAGTCTGCATGGCAAGCTCCCGAGTAGGTGAAAGAATCAGAACACCTGTTCCTAGGGGGAAAAAAGTTTAACCAACTAGTCCTTCCCTCTCTCCCTACGAAAGACATCAATGTAACTGAGAAACCCAGAAAGAGCCTTACCATTCCTAGGCATGAATCTTAACTTGTAGATGAGCTCTATGGCAGGAATGAGGAATGCAAGTGTTTTGCCACTGCCCGTTTTCGCAGCTGCTAGAATATCTCTATAGGTGTCATAATTAGAAAGAAATATTTAGTTTTTCACATTGTCAGCAGCATTTCAAATTTTAGTTTGAGAGAAAAAAAAACTCATAGCATAGAGGTTTATTAATGGTAAGTATTTAACCATTCAATAGTGACTGGAAGCATCCAATCAAGCTAGAGAACTTTGGTCTCTAGAACATTCACAACTTGCTTAGGATTGACTCAGACACTCTCCCCATCTATAAGTGACATTTCATTGGAGAATGTTAAGGGAGCTGGATTTTCATTATGGAATTCACTTACAAAAGAGACAGCAAAGATCAACACCTCTTCATTGTCAAAACTAAATGTAAAATTAATATCTACTGAACTTTCCCTCAACTTCTTCACACGTCATACAGCTTAACATGCATGCACACACATAAATTAACCAGACAAGCCTATCAAACTTTCTCCTGAAGGTTGGGAAGAAAGCAAATAAAGGAAAAATTAATTCTACTTGGAAATGACATGGCAGTAGTGATGTGACTGGCTAACTGATAAGCCTCACCGGCCAAAGTCCTGCCCTCTCTCCAAGAGCTCACTAAGTCAGTCTATGTATGAGGGAGGAATTGCAATCCTAATAACTTTTTAGATGTTTGCATTTCACATGGAAACAAAACTGGGGTGGAATTTTAATTACATAAATGCCTTTAAAAATCTATTTCTTACCTGCCTTCCAAAAGGGGTTTAATACTTTTATGTTGAATTTCTGTCATGTGTGTAAAGCCCATATCAGTTATTCCTTTCAGTGTGTTCTCGCTGATTATATCAGCCAGTGAAGCAAATGAGGTGTCTTCAAAAGCACCTGAAGAGAAATAATTCATCAACCATCTCAACCTAGTTTCTTCAAAACTTGCCCAGCCTCACTGGCTACTTGACTAAATTTATCTAGCAATTAATAATTATATTTCAAGTTACTGTATCTACAAACAGTTTCTTTTGCAGGTTAGTACCACTTCATAAGGTAAACTAAGACAAATCTTAGGCCCTCACAAATAAAAAGTAACTTTCAACTTAGAAGAATCAGATGTTTTCCACATCTTAATCAAAAACAAAACAAAAAAATCTAAGGCAAAAACTTTCAAATTTGGATGTTGTAAGAGTCAGGCACCTAACTTAAATTACTTTCTTTTAAAGTTTCAGAACTTGCACTGAGACTATAGGCAAAAAGAAAAACATATGGAAATTCTGACAAGTTACCTGTTACACCAAGAGGTAAACAGGGCTCTTCAGTATCCTCATCCACTAGTTCTCTCCCTTCAGGACCCTCATTATTTTCTTCCACCTCAGGATCTTTACTATCTTTTGCATCTTTCATGTCTACAGACTCTTGTTCTTCAGTCTTTGCTTTTTTAGTTTCTGTACCTGCAATGTATTTATTTTAACACAGAATGAACACCAAACAAGTCACGCTTAATAATGGTTGCAAAATATATATTATCATAAAAAGATATAATGGGATGATCATTTTCTCAGCATGTAATTCACTCATGTAAATTTCAATATGCTAGGAATTTCGTTTTAATGCATGCTTTTTAAAGACCCCTGGGGGGAAAAAACCCTCTTTCCAAGAATTTTCAGGATAGCTCTAGCAATAACTGAAAGTTCCCTCTTGGAAAAAGTGGAGTTCTGTAGACCCATTCAAAGACACTACTGCCATTAGCCAGATTGGCAGAGGGAAATGAAGCCGCAATTAAAATAATCGCGGCTTCATTTAAATTTAAATGGCTGCCCCGCTCTGCCGATCAGCAGTCTGGACGCAACGCGCCGACAAAGAAGCCTTTCTTCATCGGCACAGGTATGCCTCATGAAACCAGGTTTACCTGTGCCGATCAAGAAAGGCTTCTCTGTCGGCGCGGTGAGTCCAGACTGCCCCGATCTGCAGACAAACAGCTGATCGGCAGAGCGGGGCAGCCATTTAAATTTAAATGAAGCCGCGATTATTTTAATTGCGGCTTCATTTCCCTCTGCCAATCTGGCTAATCTACACGCCTCCGTCGACGGAGGCATGTAGTCTAGACACACCCTTTGGGTATAACTCAAAGGATAACATTTTAAGTAAATAGTGAAGAAGACATACCTCCTTCTGTGTTAATCACTTGTCTCTTTTTTTTCTTTTTCTTTTTCAATTCAGAATGTTTTTCTTCTGCAGCTACTTCACTGTCGGCTATTACTTGAGGTTGCTTTACATTCTTTACCTTCTCCACTGATTCTTCAGAAATAACATTATTTGTAGCTCCCTCTAAAGTATCCACAGATCTTGTTTCTGCTAGAACAAGCAGAAATGGCAAATCCAAACAGAAGAGGAAGACAATTATAAAAAGTCCCAAGTTTACTGTTTGATCAAAATACTGAAATTGTTCACAGAAACAGTATTAATCATTAGCTAATATTCATCTGGAATGCTGCAGTGGTAGCAATATGCACAGCATTAATTAATAGCATTGATGCCGGCAAATACAGTAGGCGCTGCAGAATTCCAGACACTGTGAGCATTCACAATTCCAGGGCAGAGCATGGACTTCATTAAACCTACCGAAGACAAAGTTCTCTCTGGTTTAGAACTTGGTGTGGCTGTTTTGACTAATGGTCCAGCAACAAACAGAACTGCAACCCTGAATAAGGGGTTTGAATAAGGGGACACTGAACTAGGGACGTGCAAATGTTAGTTGTGGTTAATTTTCAGTTTCATGCAGCCCCCCCCCCCATTCTGCTTTGCTGCCTCTGCTGCAGAGGCAGCAACGCGGGGTGGCAGGCAGAAGCCCCCTAAGTGTCACTGCTGACATTTTAAATGGTTCCACGATTACTTAATTGGACGCTTTTTGAGCCTGACGGCTTCAGTGCTTGAGCGTCCCACGTGAGGCAGAGGAACTGACGACACACGCCCCATTAGCCACACACAGCGACCCGCACCACAGACACCGACACACGCCCCATTAGCCACACACAGCGACCCGCACCACAGACACCGACACACGCCCCATTAGCCACACACAGCGACCCGCACCACAGACACCGACACACGCCCCATTAGCCACACACAGCGACCCGCACCACAGACACCGACACACGCCCCATTAGCCACACACAGCGACCCGCACCACAGACACCGACACACGCCCCATTAGCCACACACAGCGACCCGCACCACAGACACCGACACACGCCCCATTAGCCACACACAGCGACCCGCACCACAGACACCGACACACGCCCCATTAGCCACACACAGCGACCCGCACCACAGACACCGACACACGCCCCATTAGCCACACACAGCGACCCGCACCACAGACACCGACACACGCCCCATTAGCCACACACAGCGACCCGCACCACAGACACCGACACACGCCCCATTAGCCACACACAGCGACCCGCACCACAGACACCGACACACGCCCCATTAGCCACACACAGCGACCCGCACCACAGACACCGACACACGCCCCATTAGCCACACACAGCGACCCGCACCACAGACACCGACACACGCCCCATTAGCCACACACAGCGACCCGCACCACAGACACCGACACACGCCCCATTAGCCACACACAGCGACCCGCACCACAGACACCGACACACGCCCCATTAGCCACACACAGCGACCCGCACCACAGACACCGACACACGCCCCATTAGCCACACACAGCGACCCGCACCACAGACACCGACACACGCCCCATTAGCCACACACAGCGACCCGCACCACAGACACCGACACACGCCCCATTAGCCACACACAGCGACCCGCACCACAGACACCGACACACGCCCCATTAGCCACACACAGCGACCCGCACCACAGACACCGACACACGCCCCATTAGCCACACACAGCGACCCGCACCACAGACACCGACACACGCCCCATTAGCCACACACAGCGACCCGCACCACAGACACCGACACACGCCCCATTAGCCACACACAGCGACCCGCACCACAGACACCGACACACGCCCCATTAGCCACACACAGCGACCCGCACCACAGACACCGACACACGCCCCATTAGCCACACACAGCGACCCGCACCACAGACACCGACACACGCCCCATTAGCCACACACAGCGACCCGCACCACAGACACCGACACACGCCCCATTAGCCACACACAGCGACCCGCACCACAGACACCGACACACGCCCCATTAGCCACACACAGCGACCCGCACCACAGACACCGACACACGCCCCATTAGCCACACACAGCGACCCGCACCACAGACACCGACACACGCCCCATTAGCCACACACAGCGACCCGCACCACAGACACCGACACACGCCCCATTAGCCACACACAGCGACCCGCACCACAGACACCGACACACGCCCCATTAGCCACACACAGCGACCCGCACCACAGACACCGACACACGCCCCATTAGCCACACACAGCGACCCGCACCACAGACACCGACACACGCCCCATTAGCCACACACAGCGACCCGCACCACAGACACCGACACACGCCCCATTAGCCACACACAGCGACCCGCACCACAGACACCGACACACGCCCCATTAGCCACACACAGCGACCCGCACCACAGACACCGACACACGCCCCATTAGCCACACACAGCGACCCGCACCACAGACACCGACACACGCCCCATTAGCCACACACAGCGACCCGCACCACAGACACCGACACACGCCCCATTAGCCACACACAGCGACCCGCACCACAGACACCGACACACGCCCCATTAGCCACACACAGCGACCCGCACCACAGACACCGACACACGCCCCATTAGCCACACACAGCGACCCGCACCACAGACACCGACACACGCCCCATTAGCCACACACAGCGACCCGCACCACAGACACCGACACACGCCCCATTAGCCACACACAGCGACCCGCACCACAGACACCGACACACGCCCCATTAGCCACACACAGCGACCCGCACCACAGACACCGACACACGCCCCATTAGCCACACACAGCGACCCGCACCACAGACACCGACACACGCCCCATTAGCCACACACAGCGACCCGCACCACAGACACCGACACACGCCCCATTAGCCACACACAGCGACCCGCACCACAGACACCGACACACGCCCCATTAGCCACACACAGCGACCCGCACCACAGACACCGACACACGCCCCATTAGCCACACACAGCGACCCGCACCACAGACACCGACACACGCCCCATTAGCCACACACAGCGACCCGCACCACAGACACCGACACACGCCCCATTAGCCACACACAGCGACCCGCACCACAGACACCGACACACGCCCCATTAGCCACACACAGCGACCCGCACCACAGACACCGACACACGCCCCATTAGCCACACACAGCGACCCGCACCACAGACACCGACACACGCCCCATTAGCCACACACAGCGACCCGCACCACAGACACCGACACACGCCCCATTAGCCACACACAGCGACCCGCACCACAGACACCGACACACGCCCCATTAGCCACACACAGCGACCCGCACCACAGACACCGACACACGCCCCATTAGCCACACACAGCGACCCGCACCACAGACACCGACACACGCCCCATTAGCCACACACAGCGACCCGCACCACAGACACCGACACACGCCCCATTAGCCACACACAGCGACCCGCACCACAGACACCGACACACGCCCCATTAGCCACACACAGCGACCCGCACCACAGACACCGACACACGCCCCATTAGCCACACACAGCGACCCGCACCACAGACACCGACACACGCCCCATTAGCCACACACAGCGACCCGCACCACAGACACCGACACACGCCCCATTAGCCACACACAGCGACCCGCACCACAGACACCGACACACGCCCCATTAGCCACACACAGCGACCCGCACCACAGACACCGACACACGCCCCATTAGCCACACACAGCGACCCGCACCACAGACACCGACACACGCCCCATTAGCCACACACAGCGACCCGCACCACAGACACCGACACACGCCCCATTAGCCACACACAGCGACCCGCACCACAGACACCGACACACGCCCCATTAGCCACACACAGCGACCCGCACCACAGACACCGACACACGCCCCATTAGCCACACACAGCGACCCGCACCACAGACACCGACACACGCCCCATTAGCCACACACAGCGACCCGCACCACAGACACCGACACACGCCCCATTAGCCACACACAGCGACCCGCACCACAGACACCGACACACGCCCCATTAGCCACACACAGCGACCCGCACCACAGACACCGACACACGCCCCATTAGCCACACACAGCGACCCGCACCACAGACACCGACACACGCCCCATTAGCCACACACAGCGACCCGCACCACAGACACCGACACACGCCCCATTAGCCACACACAGCGACCCGCACCACAGACACCGACACACGCCCCATTAGCCACACACAGCGACCCGCACCACAGACACCGACACACGCCCCATTAGCCACACACAGCGACCCGCACCACAGACACCGACACACGCCCCATTAGCCACACACAGCGACCCGCACCACAGACACCGACACACGCCCCATTAGCCACACACAGCGACCCGCACCACAGACACCGACACACGCCCCATTAGCCACACACAGCGACCCGCACCACAGACACCGACACACGCCCCATTAGCCACACACAGCGACCCGCACCACAGACACCGACACACGCCCCATTAGCCACACACAGCGACCCGCACCACAGACACCGACACACGCCCCATTAGCCACACACAGCGACCCGCACCACAGACACCGACACACGCCCCATTAGCCACACACAGCGACCCGCACCACAGACACCGACACACGCCCCATTAGCCACACACAGCGACCCGCACCACAGACACCGACACACGCCCCATTAGCCACACACAGCGACCCGCACCACAGACACCGACACACGCCCCATTAGCCACACACAGCGACCCGCACCACAGACACCGACACACGCCCCATTAGCCACACACAGCGACCCGCACCACAGACACCGACACACGCCCCATTAGCCACAGAGCGACCCTCACCACAGACACCGACACATGCCCCATTAGCTACACAGCGACCCTCACCACAGACACCGACACACGCCCCATTAGCCACACACAGCGACCCACACCACAGACACCGACACACGCCCCATTAGCCACACACAGCGACCCACACTACAGACACGCCCCAGCGTTCTGGCACAGTGACCCTCACCATAGACACACCTACTCACGCACACACCCATCAGCCACATACAGTCAGTGACCCACATTGCAGACACCTGAACACACCCCAACATCCACGCACAGTGACTTACACCACAGACACACTTATACACACCGCCACATCCAGGCACAGTGATCCACAACATAGACACACTTACCCACTCAC